TGTATGCAGTATAACCATGCAAACCGCCAGCTAGGGAACACTCCAAACTCCCAAACGGTACCTGTACGGCTCTTTCCCTTCCCGAGCTCCAAATGCACAAATCGCCACTAGCAACCGAACGGCAATAGTTTCCAAGCGGCAAATAATCCCAATAGTCGCCGGTAATAAAATCCCCCCAATAACGAGACCAAGCTCCGCTTTGGGGGTAAAACATGAACTGAGTTTACTGTGGGCTACCTGCCCGCATTTATGCAGGTCTCCCACTTGGTGGACACTCCCCTATGGGACCAAATGGGAGACTGAAATAACAGAAGGACATGGGGACATTTTGGACATACATCCCCACAATATTCCCAGCATGCATCACAGTTTCCTCCCCTCTGCTCGGGAGATAATTGGGAAGTAATTCAATTATCTCCCCGAGAAGAGGCACATCGCCATTTTAACTGAAAGTTATAAAACACATTAAAATCCATAACTTTATAACTGCCGAACGTATTGCATTCGTATAACACATCCCCAGATAGCCTGGATCTGAGTGCATATTATTGGTGAATAGCGCTCAGATCCCATAAGCATAGTTCAATCGTCATGGAGTCAAAGTCTGATACAGCTCTTCGGTATGCGATTGACTCCATGGGAAGGCTATCTGGGTTAAGTCCATTCGTGTTGTTAAATCTCCCGAACGGCCGGTATTCGTATGCTTTTGTCGATTGAGAAGGGGAGGTCGATGGCTTCAGCGGTGTTCGGTTGAAAAAGTGTCCGTTTTGAGTTCCATGAAATAATCGAACACCGCTGAGCTTTCGCATAGCCAAAATGGCCGCCGCCTCGTGGTCGACATACGAACGGCGACCACCCGGTATTCGGTTTTAATTGAGAAGTGTCTGTGGTTAACCGCAACGTTCTAATTGGGATCAATAGGTTAACCAGCAGCACACTTCTCTTCTGGGTGGCCGTCCGTTCGATAGTTCCGTTTGACAAAAAAAATACATTCCCTTAACCAAGGCATACGAATGCCCAATAGTCGCCGGTAATAAAATCCCCCCAATAACGAGACCAAGCTCCGCTTTGGGGGTAAAACATGAACTGAGTTTACTGTGGGCTACCTGCCCGCATTTATGCAAGTCTCCCACTTGGTGGACACTCCCCTATGGGACCAAATGGGAGACTGAAATAACAGAAGGACATGGGGACATTTTGGACATACATCCCCACAATATTCCCAGCATGCATTACAGTTTCCTCCCCTCTGCTCGGGAGATAATTGGGAAGTAATTCAATTATCTCCCCGAGAAGAGGCACATCGCCATTTTAACTGAAAGTTATAAAACACATTAAAATCCATAACTTTATAACTGCCGAACGTATTGCATTCGTATAACACATCCCCAGATAGCCTGGATCTGAGTGCATATTATTGGTGAATAGCGCTCAGATCCCATACGCATAGTTCAATCGCCATGGAGTCAAAGTCTATTACAGTTCTTCGGTATGCATTGACTCCATGGGACGGCTATCTGGGTTAAGTCCATTCGTGTGGTTGAATCTCCCGAACTGCTGGCATTCGTATACTTTTGTCGATTGAGAAGGGGAGGTCGACGGCTTCAGCGGTGTTCGGCTGAAAAAGTGTCCGTTTTCAGATCCATGAAATAATCATCGAACAACGCTGGTCTTTCGCATGGACAAAATGGCCGCCGCCTCGTGGTCGACATACGAACGACGACCACCCGGCATTCGGTTTTAATTGAGAAGTGTCTGTGGTTAACCGCAACGTTCTAATTGGGATCAATAGGTTAACCAGCAGCACACTTCTCTTCTGGGTGGCCGTCCGTTCGATAGTTCCGTTTGACAAAAAAAATACATTCCCTTAACCAAGGCATACGAATGCCCAATAGTCGCCGGTAATAAAATCCCCCCAATAACGAGACCAAGCTCCGCTTTGGGGGTAAAACATGAACTGAGTTTACTGTGGGCTACCTGCCCGCATTTATGCAAGTCTCCCACTTGGTGGACACTCCCCTATGGGACCAAATGGGAGACTGAAATAACAGAAGGACATGGGGACATTTTGGACATACATCCCCACAATATTCCCAGCATGCATTACAGTTTCCTCCCCTCTGCTCGGGAGATAATTGGGAAGTAATTCAATTATCTCCCCGAGAAGAGGCACATCGCCATTTTAACTGAAAGTTATAAAACACATTAACCCCTTAAGGACACAACTTCTGAAATAAAAGGGAATCATGACGGAATATTTCCGTCATGTGTCTTTAAGGGGTTAAAATCCATAACTTTATAACTGCCGAACGTATTGCATTCGTATAACACATCCCCAGATAGCCTGGATCTGAGTGCATATTATTGGTGAATAGCGCTCAGATCCCATAAGCATAGTTCAATCGTCATGGAGTCAAAGTCTGATACAGCTCTTCGGTATGCGATTGACTCCATGGGAAGGCTATCTGGGTTAAGTCCATTCGTGTTGTTAAATCTCCCGAACAGCCGGTATTCGTATGCTTTTGTCGATTGAGAAGGGGAGGTCGACGGCTTCAGCGGTGTTCGGTTGAAAAAGTGTCCGTTTTGAGTTCCATGAAATAATCGTCGAATACCGCTGAGCTTTCGCATAGTCAAAATGGCCGCCGCCTCGTGGTCGACATACGAACGGCGACCACCCGGTATTCGGTTTTAATTGAGAAGTGTCTGTGGTTAACCGCAACGTTCTAATTGGGATCAATAGGTTAACCAGCAGCACACTTCTCTTCTGGGTGGCCGTCCGTTCGATAGTTCCGTTTGACAAAAAAAATACATTCCCTTAACCAAGGCATACGAATGGGGAAATTCATGCAACCGGCAAAACAGACGAACACAGCACTTTTAGTCTATACGGATGGGTCTGTCACAATAATAATAATGAGTGCTGCCAGCATTGCTGCAGAGATTAAAGGGGTGGGGGGGTCAGCCTGTCAGTGCTCAGATCATACACCACACACTGCATCAAATTGGTCTGCATAGCTGTCGTCCCAGAAGGAAGCCTCTTCTGAAGATAATGTACAAGAAAGCTCGCAAATAGTTTGCTGAAGACAAACAGACTAAGGATATAGATTACTGGAATCATGTCCTGTGGTCCAATGAGACCAAGATAAGCTTATTTGGTTCAGATGGTGTCAAGCGTATGTGGCAGCAACCAGGTGAGGAGTACAAAGACAAGTGTGTCTTGCCTACAGTCAAGCATGGTGGTGGGAGTGTCATGGTCTCGGCCTGCATGAGTGCTGCTGGCATTGGGGAGCTGCAGTTAATTGAGGGAACCATGAATGCCAACAGGTACTGTGACATACTGAAGCAGAGCATGATCCCCTCCCTTCATAGACTGGGCCGCAGGGCAGTATTCCAACATGATAATGACCCCAAAAACACCTCCAAGACGACCAGTGCCTTGCTTAAGAAGCTGAATGTAAAGGTGACGGACTGGCCAAGCATGTCTCTAGACCTAAACCTTATTGAGCATCTGTGGGGCATCCTCAAACGGAAAGTGGGGAGCGCAAGGTCTCTAACATCCACCAGCTCCGTGAGGTTGGACGAGTGGAAGAGGACTCTAGTGGCAACCTGTAAAGCTCTGGTGAACTCCATGCCCATGAGGGTTAAGGCAGTGCTGGAAAATAATGGTGGCCACACAAAATATGGACATTTTGGACCCAATTTGGACTTTTCCACTTAGGGGTGTACTCACTTTTGTTGCCAACGATTTAGACATTAATGGCTGTGTGTTCAGTTATTTTGAGGGGACAGCATACAGGCTGTATGTGACGAGACCAATCTCGCCACATTGCATTGGAGAAGCCTGGTTGCTCTCCTGTTGCCTTTGGATTATGGCCCCATGTTAAAAGCCTTGATTTTCCCCTACAAAGACATGAAAGCCGGGTCATTTGGTGCTTGCCCTGTTTGAGTGGTGATACCCCAGATAGCTATGCCATGGAGCCCATTCGTATAATGAAAGACTATCGGAAAGACTTTGGCTCCATGGCAATTGAACTGTATGTGTGTGCTCTGAGCGCCATTCAGTAATAATGTGCGCTCAGATCTGAGCTATCTGGGGATATGTTGAATGTACCTGTTTTGTGCAATGGCTGCACAGTTATATGTTTTTATGTGTTTTATTGTCTTTTGCTGCCATGTGTTCAGTGGAGTTTTGCCTCTGTCCTTGGAGATAATTGGATTACTTCCCAATTATCTCCAGGATAGAAGACTCTGTGGAACTGGTTTTGGGCAGAAAAGCCATGCTTCCTTTGGTCACAAAGGACTACGATCTATCTTTTGAACCACTGGACCAATTTGGATGATTTTGACATATGTTTGTATTTGGAGTATGCTGATTCTGAAAATGTGATGCATACTTTTCAAGTTATGAATAATGTGGAAACATTGTATTTCTCTGCTTGTTATAATTACATTACCCATTGTGTAAGGTAATTGTATCACAGGCAGAGGGGAGGATTTTGTGTGGGAGTGTCTGAGTGTATTGTATGTGTTTATTGGTTGTGTTCCAAAACCCTGTGGGTGGTACTAATGTGTAAGAAGGTGTACATAAGGACAATAAACCCACAGCTCTGACTGTTCACTGCTTGACCCTCAACACGGAGCTTTGTCTCGTTCTTGGGGGGATTTACTGTATGCTGTTCCAGTTTGACTGCTAGGAGTGTAAACCTATTCGGATGGTTTTTCCTATTCGGCTGTTTACGGCATTCATATGGTTTCCTTTTCGGCGGATTGGTGTTCTGCAGTAGCTGTGCCTGTGCATCTGGAAGGGGAAGATCTCCTAAATGGTGGTTTAATCTTTTTATGCTGAGGGAGCCGTTACACTGTACATTTACTACTTTACATTGTAGCAGAGTGTCTTTTCTTCAGTGTTGTCACATGAAAAGATATAATAAAATATTTACAAAAATGTGAGGGGTGTACTCACTTTTGTGAGATACTGTAGGTCTGTGTCCCTCCAAGTCATCGGCGTTACCATCACCTCTACCTCGCAGGCTTGCTGCCTTGGTGTTCTCTTTGACTCCTTCACCCCTCATGTCCAGTCTATCACCAAATCCTGCCGCTTCCATCTCAAAAACATAGCGCGCATCTGCACCTATTTAACAACAGATGCGACTAAGGTGCTGGTCCATGCTGTTGTTCTATCTAGTCTGACCTAGTGCAAACTCCTTCTCAGTGGTCTTATGTGTTTCCAGCTTGGCCCGTTACAGTCTATAATGAATGCAGTGGCAAGGCTCATCTTCCTTTCTGCCCGCACCTCCCAGGCCTGCCCCTTCTGTTAGTCCTTACATTGGCTTCCTGTAAGATATAGGGCTCAATTAGGCCCCTATGTGCTGACTAAGACCTATGTCTATCCTTTCTCTGTACTTCCACCTCTGCTGCTCGCCTGCAAGTCTTCTCTAGGGCTGCACTATTCCTGTGGAACTCTCTTCTGTTCTACTCTCTCATTAGACTTTAAGGATGTGCATGGGCAAAATATTTGGCTTGTTTCGGCACTTCCGAAATTTGGAACTTCGTCAATGCCCTAACCCTAACCCTACCCCTTACCCTACCCCTACACATGTCTATTAGAATTTTACCTTAAAAAATTCATTAAAAATTCACTTCTTCAGGAAAGCGTCTCAATTAAACAGTTAACAGCTTTCCCTCCCCGCACCCTGATTCCTCTCTTGCACCTTTAAAAAATAACCCACTAAGCCCTCAGTGAATACTTTTCTAGCAACCCTACGCTTATTCTTTGTGTCACTAACTGGGAAAATATTTGAAGGGCTATTAAGGGATAATATTCAGGAATTCATTGGGAAGAACTTTGTTATTAGCAATAATCAGCATGGTTTTATGAAACATAGGTCATGTCAAACTAACCTAATTGCATTCTACGAAGAAGTAAGTAGAAGTATAGATCAGGGTGTTGCAGTGGATGTGATCTACTTGGATTTTGCCAAGGCATTTGATACGGTTCCTCACAATAGGTTAGTTTTCAAACTAAAAGAAATTGGTCTAGATGAATATTCCTGTTCTTGGGTAGAACATTGGCTTAAGGACAGAGTACAACGAGTTGTCATTAATGGTAAATTTTCAGGCTGGACAAAAGTGGTAAGTGGTGTCCCTCAGGGTTCTGTTTTGGGACCACTTCTATTTAACATATTTATAAATGATCTTGAAATAGGCATTGAAAGCCATGTATCAGTGTTTGCAGATGACACAAAACTTTGTAAAGTAATAAAATGTGAGCAGGATATTGCTTTGTTGCAGAGAGATTTGGATAGATTGGGGGACTGGGCACTAAAATGGCAGATGAAATTTAACATAGAGAAATGCAAAGTTATGCACTTCGGGGTTAAGAATGCACAAGCAACTTACACACTAAATGGTAGTGAATTAGGGATAACCACACACGAGAAGGATTTGGGCATTGTTATAGACAACAAATTAGGCAGCAATATGCAATGTCAATCTGCAGTTGCTAAGGCCAGTAAGATTTTGTCATGTATAAATAGGGGCATAAATTCTCGGGATGAAAATATAATTTTGCCTCTGTATAAATCGCTGGTAAGACCACACCTTGAATATGCTGTGCAATTTTGGGCGCCTGTTCTAAAGAAGGATATCATGGCACTGGAGAGGGTCCAGAGACGAGCTACAAAATTGATAAAAGGAATGGAGCATTTTAGTTATGAAGAAAGGTTACAAAAATTAAATCTGTTTAGTTTGGAAAAACGGCGCCTGAGAGGGGATATGATAACTTTATACAAATATATTCGGGGCCAGTACAAACCTTTATCTGGAAATCTATTCATAAACAGGGCTATACATAGGACACGAGGTCACACATTTAGGCTGGAAGAAAGGAGATTTCATCTAAGGCAAAGAAAAGGTTTTTTTACAGTAAGAACAATAAGGATATGGAATTCTCTGCCTGAAGAGGTGGTTTTGTCAGAGTCCATACAGATGTTTAAACTGAAATTGGATAAATACTTACAAAAACATAACATACAGGGATATAATTTCTAATTAGTGGGGTAATAGCTGATTGATCCAAGGAGACATCTGACTGCTATTTTGGGGTCAAGAAGGAATTTTTCCTAGTTTGTGGCAAAATTGGAAGTGCTTCAGACCAGGTTTTTTGCCTTCTTTTGGATCAACAGCAACAACATTTCTGAGGAAGGCTGAACTTGATGGACGCAAGTCTCTTTTCAGCTATGTAACTATGTAACTATGTAACTATACCCCACTCCCTCTAGCATGTAATCTCACTGAGCAGCAGTGCCCTCAACCCCTCTACTCCTGTGCATCCAACTTGTCTGGTTAAAATTATGTGTCTGTTAGTCTACCCATTGTACAGCGCTACGGAATTTGTTGGCGCTTTATAAATCATAATAATAATGTCAAACTGTTAGTTGAAGTTTAAGCAGAAGTATAGATCAGGATGATGCAGTGGATGTTACCTACTTGTATTTTGCCAAGGCATTCAACACACAATAGTTTCGTTTTTAAACTAAAAGAAATTGGTCTAGATGAAAATTCTTGTTCTTGGGTAGAACATTGGCTTAAAGTTAGAGTACAGAGAGTTGTCATTAATGGTAAATTGTCATGCTGGACAGAGGTGGTAAGCGGTGTCCCTAAGGGTTCTGTCCTAGGACTACTTATTTTCAACATATTTATAAATGCTACTGAAATAGACATTGAAAGTCATATTTTAGTGTTTGCAGATGAAACAAAACTCTGTAAAGTAATACAATTTAAACAGGATATTGCTTTGCTGCAGAGGGATTCAGATAGACTGGGGACTGGGCACTCAAGTGGAAGATGAAATCTAAGGTAGATAAATGCAAAGTTATGCACTTCAGGGTAAAGAATACACAAGCAACTTACACCTTAAATTTAGGTGTAAGTAAGGTAGTGATTTAGGGATAACAACACCCAAGAAAGATTTGGGAATTGTTATAAACCACAAACTAGGTAAAAATGTGCAATTATAACCAGCAGTTTCTAAGGCCAGTAAGGTATTGTCATGTATTAATTCTCGGGATGAGAATATAATTTTGCCTCTTTATAAATCACTTTTGGGCACTTTTGCGTATTTTTGGGCACCTATTGTAAATGACGATATTATGGCACTAAAAAAAGTTCAGAGACGGGCTACAAAATTAATAAAAGAAATTGAAAGGTTTAGTTATGAAGAAAGGTTAACATATAGAAACTGTTTAGTTTAAAAAAATTTTTTAAAAAGCACATCAGAGAGGATATTACATAATGACATGGTTACATAGGCTAAAAAGAGATTTGCATCAAGTTTAGACTTTCTCATATCTACTTTTGCTGTTGATACAAAGTAACATGTTTAATTGGTGGGATAACTCCTTGATCAAAGAATAAACTTGACTGCCATTACGGGGTCAAGAAGGAATTCTTTCCTAGTTTGTTGCAAAATTGGAAAGCATCCCAAACTGGGTGTTTTGCCTTCTTTTGGATCAATAACAAAAGCAAATGTGAGAAAGGCTGAACTTGAGGGACACACATCTCTTTTTAGCTTATGTAACTATGAATAAACACTGGAATGAGAAGAAGGGAGCAAAATATGCAGCAGAAAGATGGATACGGTTTTGGGGAATTGGCACAGAAGCTGGTAATTCTGGGAATATGCTGCAGTTCTTCCGCCAACTTGATGTTCCAGTAACCGACTATGTAAACATAGAATAGGAGATATCTGTTTATTTCTGTGATTGCAAACTACACGAAGAAGATGACTGGATTTATTTTTATGAATTTGTAGAACAACAAAATGCTTTTATCTTAATTAAGCAACATTACAGGAGGGCATATATTAGTGATACAATAAATTGATCTTACAGATGTCAGAAGACTTGCTCATACATGTGAAATGACCCTTCTTGGCAATGTAAAGTGTGCTTAGTAAGTCTCCATTTAAAAGGACTTTCAGTGTTATTTTTGAGATTGAAAGTAAACACAGGTTTAAGTTTTTCACATTGCTATAGCACCCATTTCTATATGGAGGCGGGATAACTGAAATATTCTATTAACTCAGTTTGTTTCCATGGAGATTGCATCACTTTTAAAATGTCCTCCCTTTCCTGTTAGCTACACATGTGATAAGTTCCTTACACCAATCATTCCATTTTCTTAAATAAAATCTTAAAATAAATCTTTCTTCAAATACCTTGTTTTGCAAAGGCTTACTTCCTTTACAGCAACCGAAGGCTCTTTTTTAAATTTAAAATGACCTGTCCCCCTCCCTTTGCCATTACCTCATTTTATATTTCTACCAAAGAACTAAGTTCAGCATTTTCCCATTCCTGCCAAATGTTCTCCGTGGGTAGACATTCCTATCAAGAAAAGTTCAAACATCCACGTCCGTTTAATGTTATGCAAATAGAAATGTTGAGTTCTTCCCAACATGACAGCCAGTCTTATGGCTTTGAATAATGATGTGCGTAATGCTACCCTTTGTTGGTTAATAATTTGTTGCACAGCTTGCAAATATGAGTCTTTTGTGAGGGCTGCCGTACTAATTGGGTTATGTACAATGGGTTTATTTTCCAATATTTCTCCAAATAGCTCAGGATTAGTTCCCTCTCAAGAATCAAAGATATATTTTTTTTTCACTTTCTATAATCTTTTCTTCTGCTTTTAAATCATATCCAGTTTTATTCTGCCTGTATCATCTATTAACTTCAACCCACATGAAGAGCATACATTTTTTTTTTTTTTTTTTAAAGGAATATAAAACAGCTGTTTTAAGTAATGGAACAAATGTATCTCTTGCTTAAAATGCTTTTAATACATTGTGCATTTAACAATAAATCCATTATAAATTAATATCAAAGGTCTAAACCTGTATAGTGGTTGAAACGTCAGCACAGCAAGAAGTAAAAGCCACTTGACTTCTACAGAGCAAAATATTTGATACTAATATTGTTTTTTGTTATTTTTTTTATTTTTTTAATAAAAGGAGAGAAAAAGCTGCTGTGTTTGTACAAATAAAGTAAAGGTAAATCTTTAATCTTGTATAGTCTATGTAGTCTAGATGGAGTATTTATAATTATCACCGCACAGGTTTATATTGTTAAAATTAAATGATCTTCAATACCACATCTCTGAATGGACCCCTGCTGCAATGTTTTATGGCTAACACACAAATACAGAGAAAGGCTGAATTTAATGGATGCAAGTCTTTTTCATGTAACAATGGATGTATTAAGGCTGAAATACATATTTATGTTACAGGAAGGGGTGACAAATCTACATATAAAACAACAAATAAACGATGAGTTTGTATGCTGATCATAGAACTAATGTACGAATATTTAATGATAATTAGATGCAAATAGAAATGTAGACACCACCATCACAATCATCACCATAAGTACACACATGTACATATTCATCAATACCTACACATTTCCCAAACATACACAAAAATGCACACTGCCAGACACAGACACACACACAGATACACACTCAGGGCTATTCCATACAATGAGAATGCAAAGTGAATATCAAATGTAAGGCAAAAGTAGCAGAACTGGCAGCATTACTGACTTATAGAATTTTTTCTAATTCAGATATTTCGACCATAAATTTGAAATTCACTTTGAATTCTCAAGTTAATTAATAACCCTGACTGTCGGACACACATTTATACATCCAGTTGTGCTCAAACATTTGCATACTTTGGCAGAAATTGTTAAAGTTTGGCATTGATTTTGAAAATATGACTGATCGTGCAAAAAATATATATTTTATTGAAGGATATGATCATATGAAGCCATTTATTATCAAATAGTTGTTTGGCTTCTTTTGTAAATCATAATGATAACAGAAAACACGCAAATGGCCCAGATCAAAATTTTGCATACCCTTGAATGTTTGGCTTTGTTACAAACACATAAAAAGACACACAATGTTAAAATGGTAATTAAAGATTAATTTTGTACACCTGTGACTTTTTAAATTGCAATTAGTGTCTGTGCATAAATAGTTAATGAGTTTATTAGCTTTCACACGATTGCATGCTAGAGTCATGGGGAGCAGAAAAGAACTGTCAAAAGATCTGTGTCAGGGCCGGCCTTAGGGGTGTGCGATGGCGCTGTGGAGCAGGGGGCGCCATGTGGCCGACACAGCTCACACATTGCCAGCTGCCCGGGTGGAGGATTTCATTATTCTCCACCCGGGATTAGAAAAAAACCCTCTCAGCATTGTGATTACAGTGGGGGTGGGGTTTAAATTACGGCGGGGCAGAGCTAAAATGACAGCTGCATGGGAAGCAGGAAGGAGTCCCTGCTTCCCCAACAACCAGAGCTGCACTGCCTTCACTCCTCCCATAAAGAACAGAGGTAACCATGTATGTGCAACTGTCTGCCTGAGTGTGAGTACCTGTGTGTGTGGCTGTGTGTGTGTGTGTGTGTGAATGACTGCCTGTGTGTGTGTGTGTGTGTGTGTGTGTGTGACTGTCTGCCTGTGTGTGTGTGGCTGTCTGTGTGTGTGTGTGTGTGTGTGTGTGTCTGTGTGTGACTGTTTGCCTGTGTGTGTGGCTGTTTGCCTGTGTGTGTGCTGGTGTGTGTGACTGTTTGCCTGTGTGTGTGTGTGTGCGGTGTGTGTGTGACTGTTTGCCTGTGTGTGTGTGTGTGCGTGTGTGTGTGACTGTTTGCCTGTGTGTGTGTGCGTGACTGACTGCCTGTGTGTGTGTGTGTGTGTGTGTGTGTGACTGTCTGCCTGTGTGTGTGTGTGCTGTCTGTGTGTGTGTGTGTGTGTGTGTGTGTGTGTGTGACTGTCTGCCTGTGTGTGGACTGTTTGCCTGTGTGTGTGGGCTGTTTGCCTGTGTGTGTGTGTGTGTGCAACTGTCTGCCTGTGTGTGTGTGTGTGTGTGTGTGTGTGTGACTGCCTTTGTGTGTGTGACTGTGTGTGTGTGTGTGTGACTGTCTGCATGTGAGTGTGACTGTCTGCGTGTGTGTGACTGCGTGTGTGTGTGTAACTCTCTGCGTGTGTGGCTGTATGCCTGTGTGGCTGTCTGCCTGTGTGTGTGTGGCTGTCTGCCTCTGTGTGTGGGCTGTGTGTGTGTGTGTGTGCCTGTGTGTCTGCCTGTGTGTATGGGCTGTCTGCCTGTGTGTGTGTGTGTGTGTGTGTGTGTGGGTGGCTGTCTGCCTGTGTGTGTGGCTGTCTGCCTGTATGTGTGTGTGTGTGTGTGTGTGACTGTCTGCCTGCGTGTGTGGCTGTCTGTCTCTGTGTGTGTGAGTACCTGCGTGTGTGGCTGTCTGTGTGTGTGTGACTGTGTGCGTGTGTGTGTGACTGTCTGCATGTGAGTGTGACTGTCTGCGTGTGTGTGACTGCGTGTGTGTGTGTAACTATCTGCGTGTGTGGCTGTCTGCCTGTGTGTGTGTGGCTGTCTGCCTCTGTGTGTGTGGGCCTGTGTGTGTGTGTGCCTGTGTGACTGTCTGCCTGTGTGTATGGCTGTCTGCCTGTGTGTGTGTGACTGTCTGCGTGTGTGTGTGGGTGGCTGTCTGCCTGCGTGTGTGGCTGTCTGTGGCGTGTGTGTGTGTGTGTGTGACTGTCTGCCTGCAGTGTGTGTGAGTACCTGTGTGTGGCTGTCTGCCTGTGTGTGCTGTCTCCTGTGTGTGACTGTCTGCCTGTGTGTGTGGGTGTCTGCCTCTGTGTGTGTGGCTGTGTGTGTGTGCCTGTGTGACTGTCTGCCTGTGTGTATGGCTGTCTGCCTGTGTGTGTGTGTGTGTGACTGTCTGCGTGTGTGTGTGTGTGTGGGTGGCTGTCTGCCTGTGTGTGTGGCTGTCTGCCTGTATGTGTGTGTGTGTGTGAGTACCTGCGTGTGTGGCTGTCTGTCTCTGTGTGTGTGAGTACCTGCGTGTGTGGCTGTCTGCCTCTGTGTGTGTGAGTACCTGTGTGTGTGTGTGTGTGACTGTCTGGGTGTGTGTGTGACTGTCTGCCTGTGTGTGTAGGTGTCTGCCTCTGTGTGTGTGTACCTGTGTGTGTGACTGTCTGCCTGACAGTGTGACTGTCTACATGTGTGTGTGTGTGTGTGTGCGCGTGTGAGCGTGTGACTGTGTGTGTGCGCCTGTGTGACTGTCTGCCTCTGTGTGTGAAGCTGTCTGTGTGTGTGTATGTGTGTGTGTGACTGTCTGTCTCTGTGTATATGACTGCCTACATGTAAGTGTGTGTGTGTGTGTGTGTGTGAGACTGTATGTGTGGCTGTACGTATGTGACTCTCTGTCTGTACCTGTGTGGGTTTGTCATTGTCTGCCTGTAACTGTGTGTGTGTATGTTACTGTCTGATTTTAATTGTGTGTGCGTGTGACTGTCTGCCTGTCACTGTGTGTGTGACTATATGTAACTGTGTGTTACTGTCTGCCTGTAACTGTGTGAGTGTGTTTATCTGCCTGTAACTGTTTGTGTGTGTAACTGCCTGTACCTGTGTGTTTCTGCCTGACCTTATGTATTTGACAGTGTATATATATATAACTGTGTGCATCTGGCTGTGGGACTGTGTGCATGTGACTCTGCAGTCTGACACATCTGGCATGCACTTCTGTTGGCTGCAGACCATAAGTAGCTGTCTTCCTAGCTCCAGCCAATCAGAGCACTGCCGCAGATTACCACAGGACACTGCAAGTCCCTGAGCTTGCAAGACAGTTACACATGGTCTGCACCCAGTGGAGGGGCAGACCAGATTCAGATCAGCATGCCCCTCTCCCAACTAGGTAACAACAGAAAATGAGGAATTAATATTTGTTTTTAAATGATTATTTATTTAATACACTATAAAAAGAATGACGGGGGGGAGGGGAGGAACTGCGAAGATTTTTCGCACAGGGCGTCTAAGGGCCTAAGCCCGGCCCTGATCTGTGTAACAAGGAAAAGGAACTTTATAAAGATGGAAAAGGAAAATTCAGGGGATCTCTTGCTACCAAGCCAAGGTCAGGTAGACCAAGAAAGATTTCAGTTACAACTGCCAGTAGAATTGGGGAGCAGAAAAGACCTGCGTAACAAGTTAATAGATTTCCATCCTTTATAAAGTGCAGTCTGCTCTGGAAAAAGACGTTGTGGTTGTTTCAAGGAGCACAATACAACGATACTTGAACAAAAATGAACTGCATGATAGTGCTGCCAGAAAGAAGCTTTTGCTGCGCCAATGCTACAAAAAAGCCTGGTTACAATATGTCCAACAACACCTTGACATGCCTCACAGCTTTTGGCACACTGTTAATTTGGAGTGATGAGACCAAAATAGAGCTTTATGGTCACAGCTATGTTTGGAGAGGGGTCAACAAAGCCTATAGTGAAAAGAATACCATCCCCACTGTGAAAAAATGGTTCACTGATGTTTTCTGGGTGTGTGAGCTCTAAAGGCACAGGGAATATTGTGCAAATTGATGGCAAGATGAATGCAGCATGTTATCAGAAAATACTATTAGCCAATTGCATTCTTCTGCACGAAGGCTGCGCATGGGGCGCTATTGAAGGTTCTGGAGTGGCCATCACAGTCTCCTGACCTTAATATCATCGAGCCACTCTGGGGAGATTTTAAATGTACGGTTCATGCAAGACGACAAAAGACTTTGCATGACCTGTAGGCAGTTTGCCAAGATGGATGGGCAGCTATACCACTTATAAGAATTGGGGGCCTCATAGACAACTATTACAAAATACTGCACGCTGACATTAATGCTAAAGGAGGCAATAGACAGTATTGATAACTAAAGATATGCAGACTTTTGAACAGGGCTAATTTAATTTTTTTTCTTTGTTGCCATGTTTAGTTTTATGATTGTGCCATTCTGTTATAACCCACAGTTGAATATAAATCCTACAAGAAATAACAAAAAAATGTGTTTTGCCTGCTCACTCATGCTTTCTTTAAAAATGGTACATATATTACCAATTCTCCAAGGGTATACAAACTTTTGAGCACAACTGTATACACACCAGCAGACATACAAGCAGTTATAAAATGCCAGATACAGGCTTATATACACACTGCCAGAACTTACAGCCTCAGGTACAGGGGAGAGCTGTCGCCATGCAGTCACTTGCAATCTCATACACTCATCAAAGCCTGACAGTCCAGCCCAGGAGAACTTTGAGGGCCACTAGCCAATGCACATAATCAGTACTAAACTAGCATACCTTTGCCCCTCTAATTTAAGACGATTCTTTTAAATATAGTCTTCTCCTTTACTGTGTTGTCTCCCTCCTTGTTTCATCTTTCCTTCAAGCTATACATGTTAAGATCCTTTAACCTTTCGTTGTATAGCTTGGAGGAAAAATGAGACAGGGGGGATATGATAGAAACATTTAAATACATAAAGGGAATCAACACAGTAAAGGAGGAGACTATATTTAAAAGAATAAAAATTACCACAACAAGAGGGCATAGTTTTAAATTAGAGGGGCAAAGGTTTAAAAATAATATCAGGAAGTATTACTTTACTGAGAGGGTAGTGGATGCATGGAATAGCCTTCCAGCTGAAGTGGTAGAGGTTAACACAGTAAAGGAGTTTAAGCATGTGTGGTATAGGCATAAGGCTACCCTAACTATAAGATAAGGCCAGGGACTAATGATGGTTCTTATCTGCCATCACATTCTATGTTTCTATAACAGCAAACAGAATTGACATGGAGAATTCTTCCAATTTGACTATTTTGGCCTACATTTTTTATTTCACTTAGATTTGCCCCTGCAATTTTCACTAATATAAATTATTATTATTAGCATGTTTATATTATAAATATATTCCCTTATATATTTATATCTATATTCACTGATCAGCCACAACATTAAAACCACTGACATGTGAAGTGATAACTTTAATTATATTGTTACAATGGTGCCTGTCAAGGGGTGGGATATATTAGGCAGCAAGTGAACAGTCAGTTCTTGAATTTCACGTTTGGGAAGCAGGACAAGTAGACAAACTAAAAGATCTGAGTGATTTTGACAAGGTCCAAATGGAGATGGTTAGATGACTGGGTCAGAGAATTTTCAAACTGGTAAGTTTTGTGGGGTATTCCCAGGATTGTAGTGTTAGTACCTACTAAAACTGGTGCAAGGAAGAGCAACCTGTGAACCGGCATCAGGGTCATGGTTGCCAAAAGCTCATTTATGCAAGTGGGGAGCAAAGGCTAGCCCGTCTGGTCTAATCACACAGATAAGCTACAATAGCTCAAATTGCTGAAAAAATTAATGCTGGTAAAAATAGAAATGTTTCAGAACACACAATGCATTGCAGTTTGCTGCCCATGGGGCTGCGTAGCCACAGACTGGTCAGAATGCCCACGATGACCCCTATACACTGCTGAAAGTGCTTTTAATGTGAACTTGTGCATCTGAACTGACCCATGGTGCTATGGAAGAAGGTTGCTGGTCTGACAAATCCCTTTTTCATTTAGATCAGGTGGATGGTTGGGTGCGTGTGCATCATTTACCTGGGGAAGAGATTGCAGCAGGATGTACTAGAGGAAGTGGGCAGGACGGCGGAGGCAGTATCATGATCTGGTCAATGTTCTGCTGGGAAACCTTGTGTCCTTGCATTTATGTGGATGTTACTTTGACGCGTACCACCTACCCAGAGATTATTGCAGATCACTTAAACCCCTTCACGGCAGTGATGTTCCCTGATGGCATTGTCCTCTTTCAGCAAGATAATGCACCCTGATAATCTGCAACAATTGTTCAGGAATGGTTTGAGAATTATGACAAAGAGTTCAAGGTGTTGCTTGAATTCAAATTCTCCAGATCTCAGTCTGATTTAGTATCTGCGGGATGTGTTGGAACAACAAATCCGATCCATGGAAGCCCTACCTCGCAAATTGCGGGACTTGCGGGACTTGCGGGACTTGCGGGATCTGCTGGTAATAACTTGGTGCCAGATACCACAGGAAATGTTCAGATGTGTTATGTAGACCATGCCTTGACGCATCATAGCTGTTTTCGCAGCATGAGTGGGACCTACATGATATTATTAGGCAGGCGCTTTTAATCTCGTGGCTGATCATAATATATTATTTTTAGCATTTACACAGCACCAACATATTCTGCAGTGTTTTACAATTCGAGAAAGTGGATATATAGAGTGAAGAAGGGCTTGCTCAAATGAGCTTACAATCTATGAGAATTTCAGTTCCACAAGGTTATCCGGCCATCTACCAAAGAGATGCTCTGTGTGGGGCAGGCACCGCAAATCAGCCTAGTACTCCAAGAAAGTAGAAGACACAGGCAACACTCAAAGGTACCGATGGTCTGTTTTATTGAAGGATCAGCCACCCACAAAAGTGTGACATTTTGGCTCTATGGAGCCTTATTCATGTATCTTGGAGACTTGGATCCCCTTCATTGTTGTATACTTCATTTTTGTAAAATATATTAAGACAGAGTGTTTTGTCATTCAATTATTTATTTGTACAATGGTGGTAGTTGTGGCATTAAGGGCAAATAGGGAGAGGAAATAGATTCAACTCCAAAGCTCTTCCTCTCTAACAAGTGTGATTAAGTGTGCATATATACTTCTCCTTGGCCACTAAATAGTTCATTAAAAATGTCAAATGCATTTACTGTTTATTTTTTCTGTATGTAACACGCAAAACCTCAATAAAGTCTTAAATCATTTTTTTTTTAATTAGTTACATATTTTTTTAAAAGTAGGGTTGGAAACATTGGTGGCGGTGCGGGTAGTGGGCGGAAGAGCCACTGTGAGTTCATCATTCATCACTGTGTGAAATGAAAAAAATAATTAATCCCTTGCTTAGTGACTTATACAATGGAATAAGGTAAACAATACTAATGATGTATTTTTTTCATTGAGACAGGTGGAAAAGGAATTTTAGGAAGAGAGAGGCAGGCTCTTTAGTATCCTCCAAATCTCCCTGCGCACTCACTACTTATCGCTGTTAATGAATAGGGAGGTTTTTGAGGGACACACAGAATTAAAGTTGCATACCTTTCTCATCATGCAATAGCTCTGTGCGGCTCTGGTATTGGTGCTGTCAGGATCATCATTTACTCTGAGACTGCAGCTTGTATGTTTAGTTACCTCAATCTGTAAAACAAGAAATGCCAAGACAGTCAATTTTTTCTGTATTTATACTAGCATCTTTCGCAAAGTCGTTAAAGGTGGCAAGGTAAACTTAAAATAGGTATTTAGGTATATATATATATATATATATATATATATATATATATATATATATATAAAACAAGGGGGGCTTGGCTGCACTCACCTGAACATAAATAAATGGGGGTGCTGCTGGGGCCAAATAATACAAAACACAAGATCCAGCGCACTCACCTATCCACTAAACGGCAACTTCAATGTTGAAAGATTTTATTAGTTTTTTTAAAAACACCTAATCTAGGCAAAAATAATGGGGGTTTAGTTGCATTATATGATCATACATTGCATAAGCCTGCCACAACGTCAATGTACCCCATCTTTGGCAGGTCCTACACTAACAGCCTAATGTCTGCTCTTATGAGATTAACCACTTACTTGAGGGAAAAAATTCCATCTGGGGCTCTCTGCAGTACAAGGCTAAATAGGGCCCTGGGATGAGGCACCTGTGACAGGGAGGGGTGCAAAACCAAGGAATTGGCTAGACTCCCAAATATATACATATGAAACAAGGGGGGGTTGGCTGCACTCACCTGAACATGCATAAATGGGGGTGCTGCTGGGGGCCAAATAATACAAAACACAAGATCCAGCGCACTCACCTATCCACTAAATGGCAACTTCAATGTTGAAAGATTTTATTAGTTTTTTAAAAACACCTAATCTAGGCAAAAATAATGAGGTTTTAGTTACATTATATGATCATACATTGCATAAGCCTGCCACAACGTCAATGTACCCCATCTTTGGCAGGTCCTACACTAACAGCCTAATGTCTGCTCTTATGGGATTAACCTACTTGGGGAAAGAAATTCCATCTGGGGCTCTCTGCAGTACAAGGCTAAATAGGGCCCTGGGATGAGGCACCTGTGACAGGGAGGGGTGCAAAACCAAGGAGTTGGCTAAACTCCCAAATATATACGTATGAAACAAGGGGGGTTGGCTGCACTCACCTGAACATGCATAAATGGGGGTGCTGCTGGGGGCCAAATAATACAAAACACAAGATCCAGCGCACTCACCTATCCACTAAACAGCAACTTCAAAGTTGAAAGATTTTATTAGTTTTTTTAAAAAAACACCTAATCTAGGCAAAAATAATGGGGGTTTAGTTACATTATATGATCATACATTGCATAAGCCTGCCACAACGTCAATGTACCCCATCTATATTTGGGAGTCTAGCCAACTCCTTGGTTTTGCACCCCTCCCTGTCACAGGTGCCTCATCCCAGGGCCCTATTTAGCCTTGTACTGCAGAGAGCCCCAGATGGAATTTTTTCCTCAAGTAAGTGGTTAATCTCATAAGAGCAGACATTAGGCTGTTAGTGTAGGACCTGCCAAAGATGGGGTCCATTGACGTTGTGGCAGGCTTATGCAATGTATGATCATATAATGTAACTAAACCCCCATTATTTTTGCCTAGATTAGGTGTTTTTAAAAAAACAAATAAAATCTTTCAACTTTGAAGTTGCTGTTTAGTGGATAGGTGAGTGCGCTGGATCTTGTGTTATATATATATATATATATATATATATATATATATGCATTACATAAGTGAACATGGATGATGTAATGTCATGTAATCTTTTATTTTAAATAATACAAAATGCTGACCATTTTCAGAAGGTAGCAAGCAAATTCACGTCGTGCTCATCATTTGATTAAGAGTATAACAAAAGGCCTGTTTATACATCTTGAAAGGAATTGTTCACAAGGCAGTTATTACCAGAGACAAGCTTTATGACTTGTAGATCACTTTGTTGATATGGAACAAAACAGTGAAAGGAGGAAGTGTTTAGTTGATAGGATTATAAAATCTAAACTGTTACTAATTTTGTTAGATCTTATTTACCTATTCCTTTTCATATTGCTCACAATTCGCTGGTTTTTCGGGTGGAATTGTCACAAGCTAGAACTGTGTCTGCTTTTTAGCCAGTGTGAGTACTAACAGACCTGAATTGTAAATATCAGGGCTCACATTTTAAATATCTAAACTATTTGTCCACTGACATTGATAGCAGGAGGCAAACACACATTTCAAAATAAACCCTCCTCAGTAAGGGATAAGTTATGAGAGCTTGCTAGAGGATGCTGATATAGAAGCATACAGGGGTCAGTGTTCTCCTATTCACACTTTATGCTGAGCTAGATTTTAGAGCCCGATACATTAAGAGAAAGGGTAACAGTGTCTGTAGGTTTACTAAAGAGTACCAGAATTTGCAGAACGCTCAGGGATTTCATTAATATTTTGCTTTTAACTACATAAGCTCATTAAAAGGTCAGTCTTAGCACCAAAACCACTTCAGCTTAATGAAGCGGTTTTGATGCACATATCTTGCCTTTCCGTCTCACTGATCAGTACTCTGACATGTAGAATATAAATACTTTTTTTCTGTAGCTTTAGCCAAACCATATCTGGCTGTCAATCACACAGCATCCCTACACACATCCTGAAAAGATCTGTTTACTTTTTTACACTAAAGCGAGTGCCAGTACCAGTGTTTATTTGCATGGGTGGAGTCTTTCTTATCTCCTGCCCAGAGCTCCAAGTTCATAGCTCTTTTAATTGAAATCTGATGCTAATAAAAGACAATGCTCGCTGCCAGCAGCCTTCTGTGTGAGATAAATATCTTGCACTAAGTGGTAGATTATATTAGATGATATAAGTATATCTCTTGTAACATAATGGCATTTTTTAACATAGAAGTCAGTAGAAAACTATTATTCAATTACAAATGAAAAGCTTATCTAATCGCTACAGAATCTATCCCTATGACCGAAGAAAAAAACTGTAGACTTGGAACCTATTATGAGTAGGTTCATATTTTGAGTATTTTGTTTCATTTTTTTTTCATATATTTTTCATTTTTTTATTACTCAACAATGTTGTTTTTTTCATTAATATCGAATTTCATATTTGTTTTCATACATGTGTTTGTTGTATATTCATAAAACTGTTATTTGAGTAAGTACTCATAATATGTTATATTATGCTCTCTGTGAAATAATTCTTTATTAGAAGCATTCGATTAATCATTGGCCAGCACAAACATGGAAGCTTGTGCTGGGCAAAAAAAGGTTGTTCAGCTAAGAAAAGCTGCTGCTGGTTAGAGCAGTGGTAACACCCTGCATGAGAACTGGGAAACGCCATCCGATGACCTCACCAGTAATTGCCATTAGGCAAGATACCTAAAAATATATATCTGCCTACCTCGAATTCTCACAGATTGCAAGCTTGTTTGACTAGAATATAGTGGCGCAATATAAATAAATTACAAATGTGCATTTTGTAACTCTAAAGGCACCAAAACAACTTAAATTTAATTAAAGTTTTGGTGTACACGGGATGCCACTGCAGTCTCACTACTTAATTCTCTGCAATTTAGGAGTTATATCACTTTGTTTATGCAGACCTAGTCACACCTCCCTGCATATGACTTGCACAGCCTTCCTAAACACTTCCTGTAAAGAGAGATCTAATGTTTAAATTTCCTCTATTGCAAATTCTGTTTCATTTAGAATTGTGTATCTTCTTTCATACCTTCTCTGTTAATAGTCTCCCAGGCTCTGCAGGAGTCTAGTGTATGATTAAAGTTAACGTTACAGAGCAGGAGATAAAAACGTCTAAAGCAAGTTAACATCTGATTGAACATGACATATTTTTTAATACAGGCTGCGTCAGTCACAGCGACGGAAGGTGTTGTTAGGCTGCTTAAACAGAAACAAAAGGGATTAAACTCCTAAATGGCAGAAAATTGAGAAGTGAGACTACATGGGCATGATCTATACTGCAAAATTGCTTATTTAAGTTTTGTTGATGCCCATAGTTTCCCTTTAAGTTTAATCCAAGCTAGATGTATATAGAAGGTATATATACATATGTCCAAATGTTTACCTGAGAGGGGGGCATATTTTGGTAGTTAAAATCAACTACATATATGCATTTTCCATAACAAAAAAATCTTTACATAATTATTATTTGGATCAACAGCACCAAACAAATGGGAGGAAGGCTGAACTTGATGGACACCTCTCTTTTCAGCCTATCTAACTATGTAACTTTTATTACTGGCATTTTTAAACATATTCCACAGTGCTATACAGCTGGGAAAAAGACAGTACAATCTAAATAAACCAACACAAAAGGTAAATAGTGTAACTTGCTGCATAGCCTGTGAGCGTACAATCTAAAGGATTACTTTTTAAACCACATGTAAGAAAAAAAATAGCCGAGTGCTAATTTTGATGTTTAAGCGCCACTGTCATGCCGAAACTTACCTTTCCCCAAATGCTTCCTCTTCCTCTCTCAAGATCTGTTCTTCCTATTTGATCTAGTTTTCTTTAAAACATAAGACACAGTAGGGACTATTTTGTCTCATGTATTTTTCCTACGCTTGACCAGCTTTGACCCAGGGGAGAAGCCAAGTCCGCTTAATTTCCTGTGGTCAATGCAATTTCCCACAATACTCACCTTTCCTCCTAAATTCCAGCCAAATTTACTAATACTAAGTAAAGATTACTTAGTATTAATAATTAATCTGCCCCTACTTGCTATATCGCAGGTAGGGTCATGTCTACTAAATAGTGAGCAGCCACTGTTGTAAAAAAGACCTCTCACTACTCTAATAAAGTGCACCTTGGTGTGGCACCTATAAAAATAATTAACTGGGTGGCATAATCCCACCCCCACCCCTCCAAGCCTGCACTTGTGCACCAAGAGTGGGGGCCACTAAACTAAACAGGAGACCTAGGCTCCTACCCAATTCTAAATCAAACAGAATTTGGAATAAAGGAAGTGTAAGCATTAGATGGAGTGTTTAAGAAGGCAGTGTAAGTCACATGCAGGAAGTGATTTAACTCCTAAATGGCAGAGAACTGAGCAGTGAGGCTGCATGGGCATGATGTATACAC